CACAAACAGGTTAATTGCCTCTGTTAGCTGCAAGTCAGTTGCTTTGAGGATTCATAAAATTAGTTCAGTGAAGACATATGTATTAGAAACCCCATTCCACTAATAGGCTTATACCCACATCCCAATGATTTGGGGGACAGCAGAGTTCAAAGGCATTTTTAAGAGATTGTTTGATGTTTATACGCTGTGGCATTTCCCTGCACCTTTTTGTGGTGCTGATGACTCACAGTAGGGTTATGGATAGCACAGACTGGTTACCTTGTGGCAGTTTGCCACATCTATACAGAAATTTAACTAGTTTAGCTTTACCAGGGGTATAATTTTTATTTGGCTGGTTAGGCTTTACTTTCTATGCATATTATGACATAGCAATACAGAAGAGATCTGGAGCTGCATTGCTGTAAGGCTCCTTTCATATTCCTCTACTTACAACCATTTCTCTAATGAGGAAAACAAAACCACTCCTTCACAGAACAGACTGATCTTTGACAGTTTTATGGAAGCAGGAGGCCTTTGTGTGCATTTCTGGTGTTTGCTCTTGGCGCTCCGGTGCCGTGATCTTGGATCACCACCTGCTGTCTGCTGAAAGAATTCATCCTGTGTCACATTTGCTGAACCACGTTGCTCCTTGTTGAGTTGTTGTCCCCAGCTCCCACCCTTCCGCAAGGTATCGCCACGTGCGGTTACTCATCGGTTACTCATCGTTCCTCTGCTTAGCTTGGAGCTGCGAAGTTCATTAATTAACTTAAAGCTGCATCAGCTCTTAGAAATGTTTCCCCATGAGGGATTTTTCACTGCTTTAGCTAATTTGTTTTTTAAACAAAGTGTGGGATCGGTTTGTACTGATCTGTGTAGGCAAACCCCTGACCTGAGGAAGAAAGTTGGCACCTGCAAGGACGTGACTAGACCTTTGTAGGGCTGAGAATAGGGGCCTGAAAGCAGAGCCCAGATGGGTAACCGTATCCTTCTTGTGCCCTGAGGGCTTGGGTGCTCATGAATCAGATTTTGCAAGGGGGCAGCTGCTTTGAATTCCTACCTGATGTAAACGAATGATTTCTGCAGGAAGAGAGCATCAGAAGGAACAGAAAACACAGGAATTACTGCTTTTCTTTGAACTATAGGTTAACGTACATCCTACTGAAGTGTGATTTTTAAATATTTTTTTAGGGAATGTGTGTTAATTGCACTGTTTCACTTGCACTGGGCAGCCTTTCCCAGTTTGAGCATGGGATGGTAGTTACCATGGTTGGTGCATGGCAGCACAAACTGGTAGAGCTAATCAGTTAATCTGGAAATGCCAAAACTATTCCTGCAACCAAATGTCCCTCACACTCATCTTCTGGAGACTGCCAGCCCCATGCACTGTGGCCAAGAGAGGTGTCTGTCTGCTCCTGAGCATGGATTAAAATTTACTTCATACCATCACAGAAGTTTAAGATGGTAGTAGGTTTTGTGGGGAGCTGCACCCAGGTTTTCCTAGTCCTGTGGTGGCATCCTTGTGTAAGTTTGGGGCTGGTGACTGCTCTTGGACATGATTATCTGGGTTTCTTGTTGCATTTGAGTAAATGTTTAAGACATCTTCATGAGCTAAAACAGGTGGGATTGGCAATGCAGTGAGGTATGTCAAGATTGGATTGACAAAATACTTTCCTTTACCTGGAAATATGAGGGTTTCTCCATTCTCTCTGTAACCTTCTGAGAAGTGTGACAAGCAGCACCCCTAAATGCAGAATATTACATGGTGGTTTAGAAGTAGGGAAAGGAGTTCAGGTTCTGTATTTGAAGATTAATGGGATTTGTGTGTGTGTGTGTTCTGTGTTAGCTCTTGAAAATATGAAGTGTTGTGTAAATGTTGAAATTTGGTAGAATAACAGAAGAGGTAGAATCTCCTCTGGGTTTGGAGGATATCAGTATGCTGTGAAACCTGCAGAGATCTCATCAGGAGTCCTTTTCTGTTGACGCTAGTGGAAACAGGGAAAAAAGTAATTGTAAAGCATCAAAGGAAATTAAAATTACAAAAAAAAAAAAATCAGACGGGAAATATGTCCATAATCATATCAAGAGAAAAATAATTTGAGATACAGATACTCCATGGGATGATGAAACCTGGACAAATATAATAATGATCGATCTCCAGATAACCTGAGACATTAAATGAAGGATGCATTTGTAATAAAAGATATGATTTTTGCATGTTAGTGTGATTTGAGGAGTGGGGGAGTGACAATGGTATTAAAAGCATTTTCTTCTGCACCAGAAATCCTTCTTTGAAAAGTCTTAGGAAGGTCAGAGAGAAGTAATAAATAAAGTTACCAGGATATTTTGGCTTGAGAGGTGTGATTAAACTCAAAATAAATATGTGTTATCAAAATGCCACAAGCAACAGAGGAGAGAGTAAGTATTTTTCATCCTTCAAACATTTGTAGATAGATAGTTGAAGAAAGCAGAGAAAATACTTAAAAAGTTGAAATGCATTTAAACTGGAAGGAACAGTATTAACTGAGGGGTAAAAACATTGAAAATAAGATTATATAAGGTTCCTGGGCTGGCATTTTAAACAGTCTAAGAGTGAGGCTGTACAGAATGCTGGACTATGTCCTTTGGGGAGCAGCCCTTCACTGTTGACAGGATGGCAGAATAGGTTTTGTTTGGGGCTAATCAGCATTCTCTTCCTCTGACCTGGGATTCTGCTGGCTTGGAAACCTAGCTTGTTCTAAGAAGACTGAAAATAGTTTCTGCTCCTCCATTTTTCCTGTGGAAAAATTTTTCATTGAAAAGAATAAGTCAGTTTCCTATTTAGCTCCTATTTGAAACGTAAGAAAGGGGGGCAGACAGTGTGGGCTGGAAGAACGCAGACCATCAAATACAATGAAATACTGTCAACAGAAGAGCTTGGAAAGGAGACAGTACGTGGACAGAATGGAGCTGTCATGTCGGGGGATAAACGGTCTGAGCAGGTGAGCAGTAGGATTCCTGATACCTGGTTTGCAGTGGGATGGCCATCGTTTTGTCTGTCTGCCTCCTGCTTTAGAACTCGCTCTGCAGATCTTGATGATGGGTTAGGTCGAGTCAGAAGCGGCTTGCTTTGAAGCTGAGAATAGCAAAGGAATGAGCAGAACTGGAGGACTGGTGGAGCTGCCCTCCTTTTTTAGGGGGAAACAAAAATCCTGTCCCGCTTTCAGAAAATGTGCTTGGTGCGTGAAAAACCCTCCGCAGAGCTGCGAGCACGCGACGCAGGGCTGCAACTGCTTGGGGGAGTGCGTGCAAGGAGCTGAGCACTGGCCGCGGCTGGCATGCTCGCCTGAATTCTTCGTTCTCAGATAAGTCTGCGGAGTTTGTGTTCCTGCAGGCAGCAAGGCTGGACTTGAAACCATCCCTTCTTCAGCACGGGCCAAGGCTGCAGCTCGGCTCTGCTAAGTGGTATTGAATGCCCTTCCCTCTCCTTCTCCCCAGCTGCAGGAGCGCGTGGCCACGTGGCCCCCAGGGGAGGCAGACCAGATAGACTAATGTCAGAGCAAATTTGGGATTCAGCCAGTGTCTGAATGACCCGGTGCTGGCTGGAGGTGCACTGCGTTTATCATTGTTTCCTCCGCCCGGAAGGGAAAGCTGCAGGTAGGCTGATAAAGGGACTGAAAGGTTTGTCCGGCTTCTTTGGAGGTCCGTCAGCCCCTGCATGCTCTCTGCTGAAAGGCTGCTTGGTAATTCCCACTCTGCCTTTCCTATCCACGGGATAAGGTCTGTTTCGCTTTTACTCCATTGATTTAAGCATGCTGGTGTCAGAATAGCCTCGAGCACCTCCAGGCTTTGTGGGGGAGGACCCAGGGCTGGAACAGCAGCCAAAATTTAAAATCAGGATTAGTCTGTTGACACGCACATAAATCAAACAGCCCTCCTATCATAAATCTTTTCTGTGGATTTTTTTTCTGCTGCGGCGGTGAAAGCAGTAGGAGCGGTGCAGCAGCCTGGGCTTCCCAGGGTTGGGCTTCAATGTCAAGGCTGTTCTCCTTCACCCCGGGTGGCTGAATGCAGCTCCCCCCTTGGTGAGATCCCTGCAGAGGCTGTAGGGCTGCATGCTTTTTTGTTTTCTTCTTGTGGTTTTCTGACATGGTGGGGTAGTATTTTTATTGTCTTCTGGGGATATCTTTTGCATGGTCAGTTCTTTGTTTCTGAGTCATCTGATTGGTGTTAGCTACATCTAAGACAGCGCTAAAAGCTTCTAGGAAGTCCACTATGCAAGAGGTCTCTGTGGGATACCCTGAGCTGAGGCAGGAGTGGGTAATTAATGCCTTGCGTGATTGTAGAGATGCTCAGGATTGGGAAAGAGTGACTGTGCGGCTGGCTTGCGATCTCAGCTTGTTTCCCTACAGCTCTTTGGTGTCTCCTGCATGGCCAGCAAGAAGCAAATGGGATATTCCAGCAACAGATACCTGTGCTGCATACGCAGTGCTGTCAGGGCAAAGGAGGGGGCTTCTGCACAGATGGATTTTAAAAACTCTACTTTTTATCACTGTAACATAACAGAGAGGTGTGCTTTGAACCACGTGATGTGCTTGCTTGTGGGGTTGCTTGTGAGCAATGAGGGTCAGGCAGGAGGAGATGGACCCAGTTATGGTACTTTTAGGGATGTTGAGAAACCCCATTCTTCTCTGTTTCCTTCTCTGTTCCAATGTGTGAGTGCCTCTTCCCTCTTCTGAAATAATACCTTACTGTGTGTAAAGCTTTGTGTGAAATCACAGGGGTATGCAATCTGCAAACCCTGTAATTTGTTCGCTATATGCCACCCAGTAGCAAGAAAATTGCCCTGAAAAGATTAAGAAAACAGTGTCATGGCTCAGAGGAGCAAGGCATGTGCTTTTCGATAGGAGAGATAATAGAAGACTGTGGAATACTATGGTGACGGTGGGTGGGATATTCACATGAACGTGTGTGTTGTTCTCAGGCTGATGTTTTGGTCTATCTTCTGTAGTATAAAGCTGTTTTCTCCTTTTTTCTTTCTTAAGGGTAACCAGGAGCCATCAGCAACTCCTGATGCAATGGTGCAGCCATTCACCACAATCCCATTTCCGCCACCCCCACAGAATGGGCTTCCCACAGAGTATGGGGTGCCACACACTCAGGACTATGCAGGCCAGACCAGCGAGCACAATCTGACGCTCTACGGAAGCACGCAGCCGCATGGAGAGCAGAGCACGAACACGGCCAGCACGCAGAACGGATCTCTTGCAGTAAGTGCACAGGGGTGCCCAGCCAGAATGGCACAATGCTCTGGGGAAAAGCAGCCACTGATTAGGCTGCTGTTTCTCAAGTGTGCAGCAAACCAGCAGTAGACTTGAAAGGAGAGACCTATAAACAAAACGTGACTTCTGACCTTCCATTACTGGATTTCCCCTTTTGCATGTTCCCCTTGTAAATTGGTGCCTGCAGAGAACAGTAGTACTTGAAATCGTGATCATGGTTGTTTTACCATGGTGGCGTTGTCCAAAGACAGTCTCTTACAAAAGTGTTAATTACATTGTGTTAATTGGCGAATGGTTCAAATAGATGTGATAGAGACAAATTCTGGAGGGTTGACAGTACAAAGAATTACGGTGAGTACATGCATCTTAGGTGTAATCCCAATGTGGTTTTGTTTTCAGGAAGCTAACAGAGTAGAAAATTACTTTTCTTTGACTTTCTGAAGATAGCAGGGAGCTGCAGGGAGCTTCAGGGAGCAAGGATAGGAGATGAGCTCTCAGTTAATGGTCATCCATTTGCCAAACCAAGATTTTCATCATCTTATATATTTTCTTTCTTCTTTCCATGGCCTGGAACTGGCACTGGGCAACATGCTGGCAGATTATCCCAGGAAAAGCTTTATCCACCCCTTAAGCCACTTGTTAAGACTTACCTTCCTAATAAAGAGCCTTATGGTGAGAGCCTTCGGCGCTCAGGGGCGGATTTAATCTGTTAATGCTTTCAGTTTTACTTGTAGTTGGTGTTTGGGTTGTAGAGATTATTTTTTCCCCCTGGTAAGTACTGAATGAATTCAGTGCCAACAGTTGGAGGAACTGATAGTGCCAGCTCAAGTGTTCAATGGTTCCTGATGTGTGCTTCTGCTCCGTCTGCAGTGGGCAGTGGCTGCGTGGTTGGCGCCATTGGTCGTGACTTTGATAAGATACCTTGGATTTCTTCCTGGGAATGCCACAATTTTGGCATCTTGAAAAAGTACATACTCTCTAAGGCACATTGGTAGTGCGCAAAAGGAGCTTAGGGTGCCTTGCTTGGCAAAAAAAAGTAGATAAGGAAAGACCACACAGGAAATAAAACTAAGAGCTGATGCAGTGTGCAGAAATGGAAGTCATCATTTTAGCACCACATTGTCCAATACCATTCCAACATGTAAGATTTGGGTTGCCCATCTCCAGCTAACAACTGCCTCAGGCACTGCCAGTTGGATGAGGAAGCTGGAAACATGGAATAAAAAACAGGGCAGTGGCTTTCTCCGTGTGTTTTTGCTGTTCCCATCCTTGTCCAGAGCTTAAGAGCATTTCTTTTTAATGGAAATGATGTTAGCCTTGACCTTGGATGTAAGCTCTTGCCAGCCTTCCTGCTCCTCTTCCATATTAGGAGCCATCTCTGTGGCTCTGCAGGGTTGAGCTCTGTGTTTCATCAACTAATGCTGGCTCCAAGGAGCCCACAGCCTGTGGCTAGCCTGTGAGGAGGGACTGGGAGCCCATCTGTGTGGGAGGGAGTGTTGCTGGGAGACTGCTGGCAGGCAGCGGTGTTGCCAGGAGTCTGTGGAAGGAGCCTGACTGGCAGGGGGTTATCCTAGAAACAGGCTGAATAAGACACAGCACTTGTACTGGCTGTTGGAAACAGGTGTGCATGTCTGGAGTGACTGTTTGATGTGGTTAAAGACGTGCAAGCTGAGCATGCAGAGTCAGGCTTGTGGCCATAGCTGGCTGGGAAAGACTAGGGGCACACACGAGGGCATTGCTGTGGCTGCTGTGCCTGGGACTGATCAAACCCAGAGGATCCCAGATGGTGGCACATGAAGAAACCTATGGGAGCAGGGGTAAATTACCTCAACCAGGGGCTTTTCTCACACCAGACTTTCACATCTACTTGGATCTTCCAAGTCTCTTTATCTTTCTGTTTAGGAGTCCTCTGTGAAGTTATTTTCATTTTGTGGGCTGCCTTAGGATGTAATTCCTTGTAACTTTTCTTCTCCTCAGTACGCTGATTAATGATGTAGGACCTAGGGGAAGCAAGAAGGCTTAGTAGTTACTCAAGTTAAAGAATGCTGTTAAAATACAGCAGAACAGGTCGGTTATTTCATCTTAAACATCTACAGCTAATGTTAAGCATTTTGTCCATCACGTGTATTGGCTATTACGTGTTTGACACACACATTCAGTCCGTATAGACTAGACTGTTATGCTTTAAGGCATCTTCTCCTTTAACCATTTTACCATCTTGGCTCAAACAACAGTGCTAACTTTAACAGAGCAAAAAGCTGTCACGGGTGAGGTATGAGCCTTTGCTCCTATTGTTGTGACTGACAAGCACAGATGCTGTCACGTGTGTGAAGGCAATACCCCACACTCAACAGCCAGTGGATTTTTTAGCTGCTGACTTGAAGCCTGTGCTCCCATGGGATGATTCAGAAATTCCTTCAGCGGAACAGATAAGTTCCCTGCTTGCTTTTAAGAACAAGGCCTGTGATTGGTCGTGTTGGCAGGACAGAGGGAGATAGCAAAAGGTGTGGTCAGATAGGGACCTTTCCTGCTTTTCAGGCTGATAACCTTTAGGATAATTGCAGAAGTAACAAAGAACATGGGAGTAGCTTAAAGGTCGCTAATAGAAAGAGGGCTTGATCTCGTTGGTGGGATGTTACACAGCAATGTAATGTGGTCTGTAACATGGTCCTTAAGACACAAGGTGGGAGCACCTTTTCACAGAAACCTGGCTAGTTAGCTAGAATGATTTGAGATTAGCGGTAGTGTCGGAGTGAAAAGACAGTGGTCCGGGAGCCTGAGGTCAGTGGTCAGCAGTGAACTTATGTAAAGTAAGTTTGAGAGTCGAAGTCCATGCCTTCATACGCAGTCTAAAACCCTGAACAAAGGGGACTGTCTGGTTGGTGTCATGAGCTGAGGATGAGCTTGGTTATGGAGGTTTGGATGTAGTGGAAAGCATTCGGAGTTTCAGGATTGGGGCATAGAAAAGAAATTGGCACAATAGTTGATGTAATATAAACAGCTTCATATTTTGGAATTTCTATTTTAGGACCAAGCCTCATCTGTGGGGCTTTGTTTCTTGCCTGGCATGTCGTAGGAAGACCTCTCGGTCTTCATGTCCAAGCGTCTGTCCTTTCTCTCGATACTGTCCCAAAGCACAGCTGAAAGACCTGGATTAAAAATAGGTTGAGGTACAGGACCTTATTTGGCCTACTTGGTCTGCCTGTTGCAGCCCTTCTCTTAAACACTTGACGCTCAGCATTTCACTTACGGTTCTGGGCTGCCTGGTTTCTTCCCCCTTCCCCCTTCTTGATTTACCTTAGTGCTCTTATCCCTAATGGAAACACCCAGCACAGTTAGCTGCAAGGGGAGATGCTAATTAGGCTGCAGTACCTCTGGCAGCTGAGCTGATCTAAGAGATTCACTGCTGTCAGAAAGGAGAGATCTGGCTCCAAGCGCAAACTCCCACTCCTATTTACTGTCTCTGGCATTCCTTACGTGAGCCACTTTAATTCACTGACCTGGCAGAAAGCTGTCCAACTCTTTTGCTGGATTAATGAATTAGAGCAGCTCTTGGAGGGATCCAGCAAATGCTGTTGTTGCAAGGTAAGCGTGTGGAGAGCATGGCCAGAAGCCGAGAGCAATTGTCAGCTCTCTGCATCTCCTGGTACTCTACCCGCAGAGGGAAGATTAATCATCTGCTGAACTAAAAAAGCTTGCTTGATAGTGAATGCAATGCACTTACTACTGCAAGCTGATTATTCAACTTGTTTCTCTTGTTAATGTCAGAGGGAAGAATTTGTATGTCTGTATAAATTATGGAATGCAGCTGGAGGTATAGAAGTAGAGGAATAAGTTTATGTAAATTACTTCACTTGAAAATGGCAGGTGCTGTCGCCTTGGTGTTACATTGTCATGAACCAGTATAAAGCATTATTTAATTACAGAGCATCTCTGTTTCTCAGAGTGTCTCTGCTTCTTGATGTGCTGTACTGAAATGTATTTAACTCATCCACTATGCCATAAAGGGATATTGACTTTCATATTCTCAAAGAAGACACATTTGTGGTGGGGGGCCCATATGTGTCATGTTCAGAAGCAAGGATAGGAAATGTGCTTGGTCATCTGGCTGTGCCTTGTACATCTAGTAAGGGCTTAGAAGGAAGAGAGCCAACAACACCAAGGATTCCTCAACTGACTTTTGCAACACATGGAAGATGTTATAATGATGACTTCCCCTTGGGTGTTTCTTGTCTAGACTGAATTTGCAGAATTTTCCTCTGTAATTACTTTTCATCCCTTTAGTAATTAAAACAATTGCTCATGTGACGTATTTCAGGTGAAGAATATGTTTAATGAATATCATCAGTTATTTTCTGATACTGCTGAGCAGGTAGACATGAGGAAGAACTAGCTTCACATAAGTAGTTTGCTGCTGATTGTTTGGCCAACTCAGCTTAGAAATTGCTGTCTTGAGGTTGCAAACCCTGACATTTAACATCAAGAGTTTGCTTTGAATATGAGGCAGATTGTCAGCACTTGCAGACTTGAGTCTAGTGAGGCAGATTTAAAAATGAGAAATGGGAAATAAATCAACAAATATCATTACGTTAGAGTATATAGCAGTGGTAATTCTGCAAATCTCTTGAAGGTTTTAGCAGATCTAGCAGAAGTACAGGGAAGGATAAAAGCGATGATGAAAGGGATGTAGCAGGTTTTTTATGTGAAGAAATGAAATCTTCACTTACAGAAAGAGTTGTCAGGAATAAAGGTATATGACAAGTACATGGAAGATTGGATGGTAAGGCAACTAAAATATGGAGCTTTCCCATTTTCACTTACTAGAATGTAGGTGGGAAATAACTGGGTGCCATGTATGAAAAAAGAGCAGGGTTTACTACTTATTTTTTCCATATAGTGAAGAAATTAGCATTGCAGCTCTTGTCCAAGGGATGCTTTGCAAGCTGAGACATCAGTTGGCTTAGTTTGCTGGAGGAAAGTCAGTGAGC